AGATGTCTCCCTGTGCAAACACTGCCCTTTTGTTCTCCCACCTTATATCTACCTGATGTAAATATTCACCCCTATGCCTGTCTATTGTTTGGCTGGAAGCCACAGGAGTGAGTTCAGTTCCAGACATGAAGGGGCTCAGATTTTTCTTTAATGAAGAGATGTATCTTTTGTTTTTCACAGACAAAAAAAAATATTAAGTCATGGACACTTAAAGAAAGTGAAAAACCAATGTATAGAATGGAAGAAAATGTTGTTGAATCATATATCTGATAAGAAATTAATATCCAGAATATGTAAAGAACTCCTACAACTCAACAACCAAAAACAAGTAACCCAATAAAAAAGTGGACGAAGGACTTGAATAGGCATTTCTCCACAGAAAATACACAAATGACCAATCCACCAATGAAAGGTTGTCAACATCATTAGTCATTAGGGAAGTGCAACGCAAAACCACAGTGAGACACCACTTCACACCTACACGGATGCCTATGATGAAATCAAAAACAAAACAGAAATTAAGTGTTGGTGAGACTGTTGGAGAGATTGGAACCCTCATACAATGCTGGTGGGATTGTAAAATGGTGCAGCCACTGTGGAAAACAGTTTAGAGTTTCCTCAAAAAAGTTTAAACATAGAATTACCATATGACCCAGTGATTTTACCCCTAGATGTATACCCACAAGAATTGAAAACCAGTGTCCAAACAAATACTTACACATGCATGTTTATAGCCATCTTATTTACAATAGCCAAAAGGTATAAACCTCAGTATCCATAAGTGGATAAACAAAATGCAGAATATACACAATGGAATATTATAAAAAGGAATGGAGTTCTGGTACACACTGCAACATAGATGCACCTTGAAAATATCATGCTAAGTGAAAAGCCAGATTTGTTTTCAATATTGTTTGATTCAGTTTATATGAAATATCAAACCCACTGCTGTTCAGTCAGTTCTGACTCATAGCAACCGTATAGGATAGGGTAGAATTTCCCTATAGGATTTCCAAGGCTGTGATCTTTATGGAAGCAAACTGCCTCATCTTTCTCCCATGGAGCAGCTGGTGAGTCCAAACTGTCAACCTTTCAGTTAGCAGTTGAGTGCTTTAACCACTGTGGGTTCCGTTGCTAGCTGCTCCACCAGGTCTCCTTCTAGGAGCTATCCAGAACAGGTAAATTCATAGTGACAGAAAATACATTAGGCATTTTCAGGGGCTGGGAGAAGGGGGAATGACTGCAAATGTGGACAGGGTCTCCTTCAGGGGGGTGACAAATGTTCAAGAATTAGACAGAGGTGATGGTTACACAACATTGTGAAGGTACCAAATGCCACTGAATTGTATACTTCAAAATGGTTAATGTTATGTGAATTTTACCTCAACAAAAGAAAATACCTGCAAGAAGAAAGGACTCATATTACCTTCCCTGCTTTATAACTTGTAAAACCATGTATCTTAAAGATCTTTTCATAGTTGCATTTATACAAGTTTAAGAAATCCACTGTCATCGAGTCAGATCCAACTCAGAGTGACCCCTCCTTGAGTTTCCAAGGCGGTATCACTACAGAAGTAGATTGCCCAACCTTCCTTCCAAGGAATGGCTGATGGGTTTGAACCACCAGCCTTCTGGTTAGCAGTCAAATGCGTTAGGCACTAAGCCACTAGAGCTCCATATGTTTTGCTTGGAATAATGAGTTCATTATAGTATAGAATGTAATTTAGTTAACCAAGCCCCTACTGTTGGCTATTTAGGTTGTGCCCAAATTTTTACTATTACCAATAACATATAAAAAATGATTTATGAATAAAAACATAAAAATATGGGGGGAGTGTTCTGGATATGAACTCTGACTCCTCCCCCCCCTAAAAAAGTGTCATGGGACACAAATAATTAACATGCAAAAAACATAAGAAAACCAAAGATTCATGGAAACAATTAGTCCTTGTGACCGGTAAACCATGCAATCCTCAGCCTATGTGACTATGAGACCAGAAGAACTAGATGGTGCAAAGCTACCACTATCAACCACCCAGAGGGGGATCTATGTAGGAGATCCTGGACAGACAGGGAGAACACTGTGGGACAAGACTCAAAATCATTTGGGGGGGGGCGGGAAGGGGAGGAGGGACCAGGTTTGCTGGTCTGATAGAGCCTGATGGAACCACTGAGAACTATGGCCCCTAGCTGCCCTTCCAGTCTGGAACTGAGCCCACATCTGTGGCTTCCAGCCAAACAAAAGACAGACATATGAGGTGAACATTTACCTGAGGTAGATACACTCCTTGGAGAGAACAATCATGGTAGAAAAGGGGGCTGTTTATGCACAGGGAGACAGCTCAGGGGGCAGGAGTGTATGGAGGGAGGGACACAGGAAGAGGTAACGGGGAGGAAGTGGGAGGGGAGCTGTTGCATTGGGGTAAATTGTAGTCAATGTCTTGAGACAATGTGTATGTGAACTGCTATATGGAAAGTGAATTTGCTCTGTAAACTTTCACCCAAATCACAATTTAAAAAAAAAAAAAAAAAAACCAAACTCACTCTCATTAACTCACTGCCATTGAGTTGATTCTGACTTACAGCGATCTCATTGGGTTTCCAAGGCTGTAAATCTTTATGGAAGCAGACTGCCTCACCTTTCTTCTGCGAAGCAGCTGGTGGGTCTGAACCACTGACCTTTTCGTTAACAGCCAAATGCCTTAACCACTACACCACCAGAGCTCCTTCAAATAAACAAACAGGGATGTTTCATCTCTTTATTATTTTAGGTTTATATCTTGATTCCCTTCTTGCACAAATGATGCTGGTATTGTAAAAAGAAAGCCACACACTTTTATTGAAACAAAGACCGCAGAAGCTACAAATCCCCCTGAGCCCCCTCATGCGGGTGAGCATCATTAAACATGTTGAGTATGTCTTCCAACTTCTGCGTGCTGGCATATGTACTGGAACCTGCTTTTTTTTTTAGCTACTTTATCCCATTCTACAAATCACCTCCCTGCTTTTGACAGGAAGGCATTAAGGGGACAAATTCACAGAACTGAGTGACTTCCCAACATGTAGGTGTGAGTGGGGGGAGGAGCAAGAGAGACCTGACACAAGGACTCTCCCTGTGCAGATACTCGGTGACCCCTGGACCCCGCATCCTTCTCCCTGCCCAGAGCTCCCCACAGAGGTGACTGAGTGTCTTTCATCTGGAAAGCCACCATTGCCTACCGGATACGCACAGACACACTTACACACACAAGCACACACAGACACGCTTACATGCATACACACATATGTGTACATGCACACATAGCCCTCGCCTCCTGTGCAAACCCTGCTGCAGTGGTACCCTTCCTGACAGTGGACTTGTTCTGTGACATCCTCCCAATTTCCCTCCTACCCCCCA